ACAGTTTATGAGATATTCAAAACACTTGTCAAAATATTGTCATTGCAACATTAGTATAAGCATCCTGCAGTATGTTTTAACAATGAAATCTTTTTTTTAATTATTTTTTTGCTAACAGGAGAAAGCTGGATGGAAACGATTCAAAAAACAATGGCACACTTGGTCTTTTCCCAAAATCCTGGTGTACTGATATTTTCTATCAGGGTGAAATATTCTGGTGTAGCCATGAGTACTGCTGGTTTTCCTTCATAGGCTGTGATGAGAATGAAACAGAAACAGATTTCATTAACTTCAATACAAAGAGATTGGATTGTCAGTAAGTAGAACATGGCTTAGTTTTGCAGCTTACAATTTCCTTTCAGGAACATTGATTCTTCTTCTAATATAGAATTAAAAAGCAACTCTGGAGGCTGGTGTAATAATATAGTCTGTGTTTATTTAAATTGGAAACCACCTTCTTCAGTCCAGGAATTTCTATACTTTCTGGTTTCATTTTGCCAAACTTTGAAATGCATTGAAGTTTTTAAAAAATCAAATAAAAAATAATTCAACAAAAAATGCCTGTTTTTAGGACTATTTTATGTCCCCTCTGCAGTATTGATAGCCCAAACAGCATGGTATAATCTTATGCTCTTGTTAAGTAGAGACTTTGACCGAATTTGATTTGACATTTGGACACTGACCACAATATTCAAGCAGTATTTTACTGTCACAACATGCCCATCAGAAAATTATTTTAAACATTGTTATTAACTTGTCTCAAATATGAAAAAAAAAAGGACATGATGATCACATGATCAGTGTCTATATCAATTTCATCTTCATTATCAGATTTATTTAGCATATTATTTGCAATAAGGGGTCTAAAAAATTGAAAGGCCATTGCGAAAAAGGTACAACACAGCTAAGGAAAAAAATCACCCATCTTAAAAGTGCATAGAAACTAGTAAAGTAAAAGTGATAAAAACATGAATTTTTAATTTTTTTTTTGCTGAAAAGATCTAGATTCATACTTTTAAAAAATCCCAACCATCTCAAAATTAACACCAGGCAAGTCATGTTGTGGCGGCCGTGTATGGGCACATTATTAGTTTGGGGGGGGGGGGCACATTTGCTCACAATAGTAGCTATAGGGTTAACAAAAAATTAGCTACTTCATTTTTAATTGCCCTCATTACCTTTGCTGCATTCTTAATCAGATCTGACTTTTCAGACATCAGTCATAATATAATTAGAATAATGATGTGGGTGCAATGATTAGATCTTTTAAGTCATAATTTCTTTTTATAAAATCAAATTTTATTCTGATATAACATATATGTGTTGTGTTATATTTCAGAAATTTTTGGGATTTTTCTTATCTCTGTTTATTAGCTTTTAATTGTTTTAGACAAGGTGCAGTAGCTGAGTGATGAAAGTCCTGGGTTCAAATCCTGGTGAAGACTGGTATTTTAAATTTTATTATCTTTAGGGTATCTTGTCAGTTCACCCGGCTTTAGTGAGTACCTGACATTAGTTGATGAAAAGTAAAGGCATTTGGTTGTTATGCTGGCCACATGATACCCCCGTTAACTTTGGGCCACAGAGATGATCTTTACATCATCTGCTCTATAGACCTCATGGTCTGATAAGGGAACTTACTTAATTACTGGTACTCATTGTTTTAGGCCTAAATTTCTACCAAAATAGTTGTGTTAAGTTCAAATATTTTTTTGGTTTCTAAGTTGTAGATATTTTAACAATAAAGTCATTAGGTCTTAAAAGTAGTTAGTTCTGTTATCAATAGAGAAGTGTCAAATAGACTAGTTATATCTAATAACAACAAGGGAGACAAAAGTATTTATTGTTTGTTTGTTTGTTTTATTTTAGACCCAAAGAGACAATCATGGGCAGCACTCATAAAGTGACAGATGCTACATTTTCATCCGCTAATCAGTTTGACAAGTTCAATCAAGCAGCTGTAGTCCACTGGAGCCCCTATACCTTGCTGCTCATGTCTATCATTATTCCTTACAATATGAATTGGGTGAGGATAGCCCTTTAACCATACATGTGGGTTCTTCTGTTTTAACTTCTTTACATTTCACTGAATGCAAAGGTTGTAAATGCTGGTGCTGACAAATGAGTTAAGGACTTACAGTATAAATATAGTAACTGGAGAAAATAAATGCTACATGTCATTGTTTAGGCTCCTAAATACTGTAAAACATCTAATGATTAGAAAGACTTTTTATGAAACATAATTACTTGGCCAGTATTCAAGGTACAAAGAAAGTAGCAGGCCACCATAAGCTAATTGTAGCAGTGAACTGAACTGATTCTTTTCTTGATATGTTGATGGTCTCTGATTGTGGAGGCTTGTAATTGTACAAATTTTTTTAGCACCTTAATATGTACATCGTATGTGTTTCATGTATTCCAACATGTAGTGTATGATGTCAGTACAAGGAAATTTTGAAATGTTCAAAAGTAAATGTTGGGAAATAAACTGCCTACATTCAGGGATTGACTATTTCTTTGCCACATGTAAAAAATGAATTCTGATGGGAAAAAAAATTTGCTATAGGCATTTGTCCTGGCATCTTTTTTATTTGGACTTTTTGAGAAGAAATATACATCGCTGATGTTTACTTCACAATTTCTTGGAAAGATAATGCCAAATAAATGTATTTGGTTGGTACAATTAATGTTGTTGAAATCTAATGTCCGAATTCCCAACTTTATTTGGTTACATGTCACAGCAACACCATATCAACATTGGAGCTTGATGATGTTGATATTGAGCCTGTAGAAGTTATAAATGTAAATCAGAAATGTGTTTCAAAAACATTAATTTTTCTTGCTTTAAATTTCATGAATTCTGAGCTCATGATCAACATCTACAAAACAAAACTCTAAATGTTTATTTGACCTGCACTTGACTTCATTTGTTCAACATGTACCAACATTCTACAACATGTTCAACATGTACCAACATTCAAATCTTTCTTTTTCCCAATGTTTGTATTTATTTACCAAAGAAAATAAATATGAACTTAGAATGTTTAAATGTATTTTTATTCATGCTTACACTCGGAGGCTGTGAAGTTGAAATTCAAATCATATTTCTTGCTTCTGTTTGGATGTATTAAGTTATTATGAGTCCATGTTAAGGGACTAACCTTTATAATAAATGATCATGGAGCTGAGCTCCATACTTTGTGAGATTGTATGTTTTGTCAAGATAAGTTGGCAAGATGAAATTATCTGGTGCCTTTTTTTGTGATGCATGCACAAACTTTAATTTTAGTATCTTTAAATTTCTAGTTTAAAAAGGTTTGTTTAGCTAGAATGAACATCTTCTATAGGGCATAAAGGGTAGATAACTTAAGATGGAGAGGTTTGTAGACATGTTTACTCTGCCCCTAGCCTGCTGTTGATTACAAATGTGTCCTATTCCTCCTAATTTGACTGAATTGTGCTGACCACAAAGATGTTGCCCTCAGTTTGAACTGTACATTCCAAACTTTCCTTCAGACAAGTTCACTGACTTGAAACAGAAATTAAATGAAATATGACATTAATATTGTTGATAAAATTTGATGACATTAACTTTAGTATGTAAATTCACATTATCTTAGTTGACATCTGATTATTTTTCAAGTTAATATTTTCTGAGTTATTATCATGTTTGTTTATTGAACATTACTTCCAACATATGTCTCTGGCAGCTAATATTTTAATTATATATCTTTGTACATTAAACAAAATATCTCCACTGTTTAATACTGCCCAAACCCAATGTTTCGTGTTATGACACTTATGTACACTGCTGAGTTTGTTTTTGAAATGTTGGCTCTACCTCTAGCCTGTCTTTTCATGCTGACATGTCATTCAGTGCTTGAGTATTAAAAAAAAAAAAGCTGGATGGCATCCTCCTGACTTCCACACTATTATAAAGAGTATTGTCTGTGGAATAATAGTGGGCACTCATTAAGAAAAATGGGTCTGTCATTAAAGATGTACCTATACACCACATCATCACAGCAGATATGTTTTTAACTTTTGTGATGTCAAACTTTGAAATGTTAACCCAGCTCTAGCTTAAACATTTCTTTCTTCTGGATAAATTTAAAAGATCTAAATGGAACGGGCACATTTTCAAATCCTTCTGTTTCAGTCTCTTAGATAATGAAACATTTAGACAAGTGTTATTTGGTACTACTAATTCTTTCTATGCAACCCGGCTAGGAGTATTGGACCACAGGTTTAACTGCTAAACTGTTTAACTAATCAGTTTCCCAGCTCTTTGTAGTAAGATGATTGGATTTGAACAAAACTTATTTTAAACTAAATAACAATAAAAAGTTGTACACTGATATCTCACCCATCTTATGTTATATCTTGGTTAGGTGTAGAGAGGATGCTGTCTCCACTATTGTATCATACTAACTTTGCTGGAATATGGGGTAGAGTCAGGGTTATGTAGCATCATTGTGTTAGAGATTAACAAAGAGGTTAATAAAGTGCCTTTTTCTCATTTGCATTTTCTATTTCATGTCATTGTGACTTAAAAGCAGTGTATTGTTGTGAAAAGTGATGGGGAAGAAGTTTCTTTTGCAATTTTTTTTAGACAAAAGTTTATAAGTTGTCAATTAATTTGATAGTTGTTTTTTTTATAAATCTTTAGTTTATATCTAATCATGAAGTACTAAAATATCAAATGAAATGATTCATCCTAGACAGACATAGGTACATGCTCTGTGTGTACTAGATGCTGCTAGTGTAAGGCTGTGACTTCAGTATTATTGTGACATAATCTTTCAAGTGTATAGAAATAATATTTGTATTATTTGATTTACTTTTGTTTGTCAATGTAACTTTATGTTCAAGTCAATTGAAGTTTAATGCCTTTAATGATGAAATAAATCACAATAAAAAAAATAATCATATATGTAAACTGTAGAAGTATTAATATACCGGTAATGATCCAATAATAAGGTATCTAGAGTGGCAGCATAACAAGATCAATTATCAACAACAACAATGATTTCCTCTCTCTTTCTTTTATAAAGACCTTTCTAAAAAAAATCACAATGACCCTTGACCTTTTCTTTCAGTGCCGTACTTATTGGGATTTTCTTCTGCCATTCAGCATATTTGTTAACACTATTATAAGTTGTTAGGCTTCTGACCCTAAACTTTATTTAACATCTTGAATGTAGTATTTTTGTTTATCTTTTCTAACCTATTTAATTACTTTACTGGACTTAATGACAGTTATGTACAATGTAGGTGCTAAGTGAAATATACATTTTGTGTTAAATGTAATGTACCAGTGTAATTTGCTGTCAAGATGTGACACTGCATAGTTTTTCTTTCTCTTTGATTCATTATATTTGTATAATTTATTTGTTTCACATTTATATTATTTTGATAAAATGCAAAATCTTTTGACTGAAGATTGTATTGTGAAAGAAATGAGTTTTGCAAAGTTGAAGATTTAACTTTACCATGTCTAGCATTTACTTCATGATTTTGGAAATAAATTTGTACACTCATTTCTAAATAAACATGTTATTCTTGAGTTAGTTTTCTTGTTTTTGTAGTTTTATTTGATGTTATAAACATTCAAAATTAAGATGCAATCAGTTAATAGCTCTTAAATTCCTAAATCATCTAATAGATGGAGTGGAAGGGAGATAACTTTGTATATATAATTATACAATTTTTTTTATCCAGGAGAAAATTTTTATGACAAAATTATTGCAATGATGTCAATGAAATCTACATTCTTACAACACCTGGTATGTGGACTTGACATCAGAAACTGGTCATTTATTAATAATATTATTGGCAATTGAACATAAGTTCCTGTGTCTTTTTTTTTTTTGGGATCTCTCTGAAAAGTTCCAATCGTCCTGTATAACATTTTTTTTTTAATTTTTATAATCTTAATATCTTAAGAATGTTTTTCTTGAATATGTGGCTCGCTGCAGTATTAAGTTGTTGTTTCCCTATCTGGAGTGTTGATGCTATTACACAATAACTGTTGTGTCTACAAATGTGTAAAAGAATTCAACGCTCAGATTGGATTGGAATATATTCTAGCAACAAGATCATAGCAAAAATAAATGGTAGTTAAACCTATTTCAAATGAATATTGAATTGGAACGGCTAATGCATATATTTCTGCATTGTTATGGGTCATTTGAATGGAAAATTCTTGCCACTTTTTACAAAGCTTATACATCACCAAACTCTGTCTGTATGGTCAAATGTATTGGACACGTTATTTTGCCCACACACAATCTCGGATAAGGCAGAAATTTTGCACAAATATTTCTTTTACCTAGCAACACAAGAATCACTTTAAAAAAAAAAAAACAATTAGTTAATTAACTGTTTGTAATTAATTATTTTTTAAGGTTATCTTGAACAAGGGAAAGAAATCGTACTTGATATGTGGTATAAGCTTTGTAAAAATATTTCTAATTGCACGTATTTATTATGCCTAGGTCAATCGTATATATTGTTATAAACCTAGTGGTGGCACAGATGGGGGTAGTGGTGTGAGTGTAGTCAGCCAACGCAAATCGCCTCAGGCCAGCGCTAGACGAGCGGTCAACTGTGACGAGTTACGACGGTCAGCCGAGTCGAGTGTCAACAGGACGGTTCGGGAAGGATCGCCGTCGTGAACAGAGCTCAGGAGCGTCACAAGGGATGTAGTCATGTGACGAAGCTAGAAACGTCGAGCGATGTTCTGTCCGGTTCTAGAAGGCCATTAGGGACCTTTTATAAGAAGCGGAGGTGTCGCAGTCAAGATGGTTGAGAAAAGGGGCTCAATACAGCACGGTTCACGACAGGGGTTCAGAACACGGTCGACTACAGCACAGTTCAACGGTGTGGTTCTGTACAGAGCATTACGACGGTTCAGTGCGGAGTACTGTCAAGTACAGTTGAGACGACTGGCATCTTGGTCTGCGATCGAGTCCGACACAACAAGCCTAGTGTGTGAAGTCAGTCCTGAACTTTTGAACCCAGTGCAAGCCCGGAACGAGACGGAGAGGCCAGTGCAAGATTTGATACGGCGGAACGGTGTTATCGGAGAGATATTTGTACAAGGTACGTGTTGCCGAATTGCACAGTATTGGCTGTTATTTATTCAACTATTAAAGTGTTAAGTCAAGTTCTTTAAGTTGGTGGTGTATGGTGCAGTTTGCAGAGAGCCTGGATAGTGAGATTCGTAACAATATTATTGCATGACTTATCCAAACTAATTGATTCAATTAATAATAATTTAATTTATAGAGCGCCGTTAACAAACAAAATGTAGACTCATGGCGCTGTGATAACATTACACTTAATATAAGCTTTGTTTTTGGAAAAAAAAGTAGTTTTTATGATTTTCTTGTCAAACAAATATAATAATACGAGCCGACCCGCGGCGTAGCATTCGCCCCACCCCCTTTTTTTTTTCTTTTTTTTTTTTCTGAGTCTTGCTCTCTGTCACCTCGAACGTTACGTGGGGGTAACTCTAGTCCGACTTGCAGAAATAAAAGAGTTATCTTTCTATGACTTTTTGGTAAAACTTCCCTTTAAAAAAAAGAAGACTAAGTATAATAATGAGTATAATCAGGTCGCCTGCTGTGCAGCGCCCCTTGATGAAATGATGTACGTTCTATTCTATTTAAAGAGGTAAAAGAAAAAAGGAAGAATAGAAGAACATGTCAGGATTGAACACTACCATATTATGGGGGAGCTAACCTAATTAATTATCAGTACAACTTTAAAGATGTCTCCTAAAGTTCAATTTTTAAAAAAAGTAGTCACATTTGTTTTGTTTTTATTTGTATTTATTGCCAGCTATGCTTTGTAAAATAGGCTGGTCTAAATTCTCAAGCTCCATAGCTTAATGGAAAAAAAAACAAAAAAAAAAAACGCTTAAAGTAAGAGAAGATAATTACAACTGGGGAAGGGGTCGTTCTGTTTCCTACTCCAGTAAGGTCAGACGTAGGCTTTGAAAAACGTTTGTTTCACATGACACCAAGTCTTATTTTATAGTTTCCCTGTTCGCAGCAAACTTTTTTTCCCTTCCCATTGTTGAAAATAAAACAATTAATGTTAGCATGTCTCAAACATGCACACGAAATTTGCACAAACATCTACACACTGGCCAGTAGCGTAGCTAGGGTATTAGATGCCAGATGTCCTACACACTGGCCAGTAGCGTAGCTAGGGTATTAGATGCCAGATGTCCTACACACTGGCCAGTAGCGTAGCTACAGATGCCAGATGTCCTACAAAAAATATAGAAATAAAACTACAATAAGACTTTTTATTTCTTCAAATTAACGCGTATTCGCTGTTAGTATATTGTCAATTGGCAAAAAAGCAATTTAAAAAAAATATTACAGATAAATTCATGCTAGCAAAAGTAAGCTACCAATAAGTTTAGCGAAATCTGTTGTTTTTTTTGCTTATGTTCAAAGGAAAAATTACCAAATAATTGAGTCTTAAATTTATCATCGTTGATCGCCAGTAGTTCTTGATCAACATGGTAGTCTAAAGAAACATCGTTCACACCTAGCTACACTTGCCTCAGTTGTCACACGTAGGCGAATCAAGATGACGATATTTGGGATTTTTTTTTTTTTTAATAAAACACAAGAGCTCAGCTGGTTCTCGTTTCAGAAGTTTGGAGACTTCTGAAGAAACTGTGACAAATCAGTTGAAAGCATCTTTCACTCCTTGCTCAATTCGTTTTTTATCCATGTCATTAGGAGCACAATCAAGATTGGCCTATATCTTATCTTATAAAATACAGACGTTATTCAAAAAAGATTATTACGTCCTACGCGTAATGCATTTAGTCATGCATGTTAACAAAATACTTAAATTTTGTCAAGTCACTGGTTTTCCTGGCTAGCTCATGCAACCCATTCCATGCTCTAATAGCACTAGGGAAGAAGGAGAATTTGTAAAAATTTGTCCTAGCATATGGAACGAGAAAGAAACTGTGACTTGGATTTAATACACTGTGGCCCACGAAGAAGTAGCCCGCCTTAGTGGGAAGGTATGGAGGAAATGTAATTTTAAGTAACATGTTTATCTCTCCATGCTTCATCACTCAAGAAAAACAAGATGGATTCAATAGTCTGCTGACAATGGTTGTCAGGAGCCATGTGCAATAATGAACACGTTTGTCCTTCTTTACGGCCTGCAGTTCGTGAACACACGTCCCTTTTTACGGCTTCATCATCAGCGACTGCAGCACAACTGGGCTAGACCTGCGGGAAATGCCGTCTTGTTGCGACAATCTGCAAGTGGATTTCTTAAGACTTCTGTTGAGCCTCTGTTCAATGCTCGTTACGGTGCTACCACAACAGCCGTACTCACAAAATTTTTCTTCACGTTTGCCACTGACCCTGTCGAACGCCACTTCTTCAGCAGGTTTCGAATTTCCTCTTTGCTGGCACACCAACACCAGGAAATGTATCATCAAAACTATCCCGTGTTTCCTTGATGGGACCATTTTGCACGTACAAAACCACTATTGCGATTCTTTCTTTCGGAGAGTACAGGCGACAAATGAGATTAATACCGTGTTACTCCGTACGAAAAATGGTGCACCAGATTGTCGCACTCTGCACACTTCTACTCCTCCACTCTGGAGGCGGACTACTTTTTCGTGCGCCACCGGGTAGTTTGGAAGGCGACAAAAATGTATATTTATCTGCCACATCATATCGGATGATTATTTTTGATAATCTTTTTGGGGTTTCAACTTTTTTCTTAACGATTCTGGAGTAATTTCTAGATTTGAGCCCATGCATTCGACTAGTAGTTAAAAATGCGCAGTCTCAAATTGACAATCTTTTTTTTTATAAAGGTAAACTTGCTAATCGTTTAGTTCCGTTAATACAGGGGACATAAACCCAAGCTAGGTGAAAGAATAAAAATTTTGCCTGCAACAATCTGCCTGCTTCAGATCTGGTAGAAGAAGGTTCATCTGTACTCCATATGTTTCCAGAAATTACAAAAAAGTATGAAAATGTTGATTGTACTTGGATTCACGGTGCCCCCACTGCGGGGACGAAGAGGAAACGGTGCCTCATTTTCTGTTCGACTACCCCAGACTTGCTGATCTTTGTCTCGACAGGTCTGGGAAACCAAAAATTATCGACCTGTATGGCGACATTTATGCACTACGCAAGACAGCAGGGTTTCTGTCCAGGGCTTTTGCAAGAAAGGATTTGAGCCTCTCAAGCCCTCACTCAAATGGAGTTAAATGATGATGTTGGTTGTACTTGGATTGCAGTCTTACTAGTTCCAAGAAATGGCCTCCCAGTTTCACTAGTTCCAAGAAATGGCCTCCCAGTTTCACTAGTTCCTAGAAATGGCCTCGATTCTGTTCTTCCAATTCTGGTCACTCGTTTGGAATGCCAGATTTTTGCTTTGGAGAAAATGAATGATGTCATTCAATCTTTCTGTCAATACTGTTTCCTATTCTCAGACCAACATCAAGCTCCCTCCAAGTAACCGTTGACTGAATGTGAATTCTGCAGTCTCTTGGTTTTTAATAGCAATA